GGGGTGAGCGAAACGATCTGCGAAGCTGACGGTTCGCCCATTCACAATCAACAGCGACGTCTTGAACGCTGGGCGGAGCACTTCAAAGCACAGCTTAGCTGGACACCAGCGTCAGCTCTTCACACAGCTACTCCGGCGTACGTCCCATGGTTTGTCACAACAGACCCACCTTCTGAGGTGGAAATCCGTAAGGAGATCCAAGCCTTGGGACGTTACGAAGCGCCGGGCTCCGATGGCCTTCCTCCTGCTCTATTTAAAGATAGTGGAATGAAGGTTGTAAGAGAACTACAATATATGTTCTCCAAAGTGTGGAACACTGAGCAATTCCCCTCCTCGTGAGGGAAATCGATTGCTGTTCCTATCTTCAAAAAGGACCCGCGCAATGACAGCGCCAAGCATAGGGGTATAAGTCTAATCCCGATAGCGTCAAAGCTGTTGGCGTCCGTCATTCTCCGCCGATTGTACACTGCGCGTTAGGAGCAGGCTCGGTTTCGCGCCGGTCGTGCATGCATCGATCGTCACCCTCCGACAGCTGCTAGAGCACCGTCATGGCTACCAAAGACCAACGATCTTTGTATTCCTAGACATTCGCGCGGCCTTCAACTCTGTCGATAGGACCGCACTATGGAGCTGTTTGTTGAGGAATGGAGTACCTGAGAAGTATGTGTCGATCCTCAAACAGTTGTGTCGTCATGCCTCAGGTCGGGTTAGGGCCTATGGCCAACTTTCGCCACCCTTCGCCGTCTCCAGTGGAGTTCAACAAGGCTGCCCTATATAACCATTCCTTTTTAACTTTGTCATAGAGAATGTTCTACAGAAAGATTTGTCCGGTTTACCAAATGGTGGATTCGAACTCCTCCCACGGAACAGAGTTCTTGACTTAGAATATGCTGATGATATCGCCTTGCTGAGTGACAACATACAGGCAGTTCAAGAGGTTCCGAATCGATTGAGGTATCCAGGTATGGTATGTGCTTTGCACCATCAAAGTGCAAAGTGCTGGTTCAAGACTGTCAGGAGCCTGTGCCTGCACTCACCTTCTGTGTTGATTAGCTAGAAGTAGTTGAGAGCTTTAAGTACCTCGGAAGTTTGATCGCAGCTGGTGTTGGTGTTGGGGACGAGATCACATCACGAATAGCAAAGGCTACAGCAGCTTTCGCCAACCTGCGACACCTGTGGCGCCGCCTTGACATCCGACTGTCCCTTAAGGGAAGCGTATACATCGCCGCAGCTCGTAGTGTGCTGCTTTACGGTTGCGAGACCTGGCCTCTCCGAGCGGAGGATGCTAATCGACCTTCTGTATTTGACCACCGATGTCTCCGAAGCATTGCCCGTGTCTGGTGGGAACATCGGGTGAGCAATGACGAGGTCCGTCGTCGTGTGTTGGATGCGAATAGTCGTTCCCTAACAGAAGTAATCACTCTACACCGTCTCCGATGGCTTGGTCACGTTTTCGTATGCCTGTCC